GCTTTTTTTTCCAGTGTGTAGATGGTTCTCTCAAGTTCTACTTTTAATTTCTAGTCTTCTTCAGACTACTCCAAGTGATGATATAGCAAAAGTAAAGCCTAATGATCATCCTGGTTTTCCTACTGCTCCTCCAGCAGGAAGTCCTCCTAAGGAGTCAAAGGGGATCGATGGTAATAAAAACTTATGGTCATTAACGGTAGAGATTATGGAGTTTTTTCATCAAAATTGCTGTTGGAAGAATTATTCTCTCTGGTTGAGTCAGCAGGACTAAGCGCTTCAGAATTTTTGTGATTAAGCGTTTTTGAACCTGAACGCTGCTATCCCGTTTTTTTAGTGGAAGAGTTATTCAAAAAATTTACTACTTCTTTGCAAGAGTTTTATATAAGAACTTTACAGACATACCATCTTTTCCTGAACCGCCATCTGACTTTCCAGACGATGATAGAGGACACTTCCATGGACCTAATACAAATGTAAATAATAGTGGTCGAGGTATCGGGCCGTCGGATGGTATGGATTTCGATGATCTTGCCAAGCGGTTCGACCAGTTGAAGAAGAAAAAAAATTAAATTCTTTGTATTGTTTCTCCTTACTTTCGTTTTTGACAAAATAAATTGAATACTGGATTTTTCAAGGTGCATTCAAGAGTTCTTGAATCTGAGTATTGTGTATTAGCTCCAGATGGAGCAGTTGTTCTATTTTGGCCGTTAAATGTCTCATCCGTATTTCATCTACTTTACACCACGACGTTTCCGCACACTCTCAATGATGTCAGGCAAGATTGTTTATGGTTCTGCAATTTTTTGTCCTGAACGCTTCGAAGCATTTTCGTCTTTGCACCAGGTTCCTCTTTAAATTGGATGTGTGACTTCATTGTATATTATTTATTTGTTAATTGCTCATGTAAAATTAATGTTGCACTAGATTCTACATAGTTTTCTTGACGTTGGAAAAAGCTTAAATATTGGGTATTAATAAATTTTTTGAAGAGCCATGTGTCGAGCTCCTCAGTGCAAAAATCCTTAAGGACAAGACCCTTTTTGCTATCAAATAACGCAACTTGCGTAACTGGCTTGTTCACCGATATGCAGTTTGGCGTATTCGGCAGCTTATTTTGAATTTTCTCCAATTGCATCTGAAAAAGTAGCACTTTAGTTTCTGACAGGTTGATTTCCTTTAATTAGATGGAAAAGGTTGAAGTCGCTAAACTTTCTTACCCCTGATTAATTGGTATATGAGCTGGGAAATTTCTTTGGAATGGTCGGCGTCAAGCATCGTTGCGTGAGTGCCGGAAATTGTGATAGTTTGAGTGGTGCACAGACGGTTCCATCCAAGGTCATCGCTGCTTTTCTGCACAGTCAGTAATGCAGCGTTCAGATGAAAGTTGGGTTTAGGCCGATAATGTCGTCGCATTTGCAGTAGTAGCCATGAGTTTTTAATTAAGGATTCCTTTATAACGTTACTTAAGTGAGTGGTGTGCGCATAGCTATTTAATAAGCTTAGCACTTGGGTTTTGTGTTCCGTGAAAGTGATATCATCTGCATCAGTAACGTGAGCTGTGGAGTCAATAAGTATCAGTTTCTCAACTTTAATGCCTGGAAAATTCAGTCAGATTTACAAAGACTTTTGGCTTTTATTTCTGAAAACGGGGATACTTATGAAAGAAAATGAACTATTTACTACGAGAAACCGACGAGTATGTATTCAGGGCCGTCTGATCCCAATTTGATGTGGAAATATTTGCCGCGCCGGGACCACAGTTAAAGTAACACGGCCGGCTAGCAATCTGGGATAGCGTTGATTCAGGTTCATAAAAGCGTTTTTAACAGCCTTACTGTGAGAAACTTGTATATAGTGGTTTTGGCGTCTAATCTTGAAATTTCTGGCAACAAGTTGCTCGTTGAATTTTGCTAACATTTAATTTCCTCGCTGAGTTATTAGCCGAAATGTGTTATTGTGTTCAGTTTTTTGGTTTACTTGATTTGTTACTTTACAAGTAAAAATAACTTCTTTTCCCATCTACCTACAATTTTTTTTCATTTTTGGGCTCTGCCAAGTGTTTTTCCCAACTCGTAAAATTTTTT